GTATTAAAAGAAATGATTCAAAAAAGACGCAGTTTCTTGGATACTGAATCGGATTCTGATGGTGATGACAGCATTGGAAAATTTCACTAAAAGTACAGTGAAATAACTAATAATTAATAATTCATATGAGTTGTTATAAGTGCATTAGCTACAGTTGATTATAGCAAGTTTTTTCTGATGAGGGATATGAACTTTATTGTGTTTCTGATTCGTTGAAAATATCGGATAGATTCAAAAAATGATTTTTGGTTTATTAATTTTTCTCTATAAAAATTTTCACAGAAATTTTAGGTTAAATTTTTTGTATCTGTACATATTATAGCTGTAATGATTTTACGATTTATTTTTTTGTAGCTAGGAATAAAAACTAAAATGACGTAATTCGTGATTAAGTTGATCCTGTGACCTTAGATCTTTTCATGATTGGTTAATCACATTAAATTGATGATTGGTCAAAAAACACGCATAAACAAGTTTTATTTCTAGTTGTAACTATTTATTATAAATTAGAGTTGTTTTTATATTATATTGTGAGCCCAATTTAAACTTTTTAAATAAAAAGGCAAACCAAACTTTTAGAATTTTGTTATAAAGAATTCCCGCAGAAATTTTTAACCTTTAAACTAAACATTTTCTGTAAAGAATGGATTCTCTTGTCAGTCCTTTCATAAGTTTATCGAACGAAATCCTCTTAAAAATATTTGAATGCCTAAATAGTAATTACAAAACCTTATTTTCATGTCTTCATGTAAACCGTAAATGGCGCAGAATTGTTGTTCTGCTATTATGTAGAGCAGTCATCGAAACAGAAAATAATCCGGTCCAGTTATTTGAATATGCAAACTTTATGACAACTGTCAATAAACAAGAATTGAGCATTGAAATAGAAAAGTTCCTTGTCAACGACCAAAATATTAGCAGTGGAAAAAACGCAACAGTTATTTATTGTGTTTTGATTTCAATGTTACTACGAAAGAGTAAGAAAATTAAAGATTTAAACCTTTCATATATTAACCTTAGTTCTTACAGAGGAAAAGCAATAGCAGAAGCTCTTTTCAAAAACAATACATTAACTACTTTAGTCTTTGCCGATAATAACCTTGATTATTTTGGAGGAGGAAAGGCAATGGCAGATGCCCTTTATGAAAATAATACGTTAACTTATTTGAAACTTTCAAATAATAACATTGGCTGTGTAGGGGGAAAAGCGATAGCAGATGCTCTTTTAAAAAACAAGAGATTGACTTATTTGAATCTTTCAACGAATAATCTTGGCGCGAATGCGGGAAAAGCGTTGGCAGATGCTCTTTGTGAAAATAATACGTTAACTACATTAATTCTTTTTTTTAACCATCTTGGGTTTTAGGATGGAAGTGTATCTTTAGAAGGTGGAGTAGCATTGGCAGATGCCCTCTGTAAAAATAATAGGCTAACTTCATTAGATCTTTCATTTAATGGCCTTGAAACTGATGTGGGAAATGCTTTAGTAAATTCTCTTTCAGTAAACACAACCTTAACTGCACTTCAATTTAATGATAATCGATTTGATTCTGAAATAGAGAAAGTATTAGAAGAAAGATTCAACAAAAAGGGTTTAAAAAAGATTATGAAATAATTTAGGCGAGAGTGTAATAAACAAACTACAGAACAATCTTTTTAAGCCCCAACTTTAACGTCACTGCAAATTAATGGTAATCAATTTGACTTTGAAACAGAAAAGTTATTAAACGAAATAAGAGGTGGGTTGATGGTAGTGAAATAATCTACTAATTATTTGACGAATTGTTATAAGCGTAATAAGCTGATTGTCGATTATAGCATGTTTTTTATAATGAGAAATATGAATTTCATTGTGTTTCTTTGCTGAAAAAATAAGATATATAAAAAATGTACTAGGGTTGAATTTTGGTTTATAAATTTTTCTCAGTAGAAATTTTTGGTTAAATTTTGTGTAGATACTTATAGTTGTAATGATATTATGATTGTTTTTAACGAGAAATTTTATTTTTTGTTAGTGAATAAAATTAATTTCTTTATCAGAATTATTCTACCAGAATTATATTCAAAATTTCATGTATTTTAAATGAATAGTAATTCATGATTGGTTAATCACATGAAAGTACGATTAGTAAAATAACGTAATTCATGTTTAGATTTCTATTGTTCAGGCCAAAATTATCCAAATTGTAGTGGAATACTACGAATTTGAAATTATGATTCTTTTAAAATTATTCTATATACGGTATACATGAAAGTAGTTGCACAGTACAAATTATAAAATGTTAACATATAAAAAGATCAGTTGTTGTTTTAATATTTATTTCGATCTACTATTTTTTAATAAACAATTGCAGTCATTCTATATTTATGATTTTTAACCATATTGGTTGCTTTTGATAAAGCAACTTGTAAATTAATACCAGTAATTGATATTCCAATAAATTTATGCATATTCGTATATGAAACAAAAAAAAAAGTATTTATGTTAAATTTTTTTTTACTGCAAAAGGTCTATTATATATAGTAATCGGAATTCTTAATCAGAGATCTCTACTACCTTCTTTTATTAACTATTTCATCTAACTCCTTCTTTACTTCAAGACTAAATTGATTACCCATAAATATCAGCAAGGTTAAAGTTTTGTTCACGTGAAGGGAATTAACTAATGCTTTTATTACAACATTTCCAAGGTCATTGAATAAAGATTTAAAAAAGATAAACTATTATTTTTGTGAAGTGCATTTGCTAATGCTTCTTCACCTTCAGGTTATTAACCAGATTTAAATCAGTTAACGTATTGTTTTGACTAAGTGAATTTGCTAACGCTTTTCCTACATCAGAGCCAAGCTGATTAGATGAAAGGTTAAAGCACTATTTTTACCAAGAGTATCTGATAGACATTGCGTCAGGTGCGTCAATCATTAATAGAATCACGGGATTATAGTGGCTTGCTCGAAAAAAATAGTAATAAGTGTATCGCTACAGTCACTATAAGAAAAAAATTTTTCGTGCTTCACAACTATTTAAATCTTGCTGAAACAAGTTTTTTATAAAAAAAATAATATCCAGGTTTTTATAGGTTAAAATGCTCGACTACTTAATTCTATTTCAATTCAACTGCAATCTTTTATATATGCAGATCTTATAACTAAACGAGTTTTTTTAATATATATATATATTAATGTATACATTTTAATGTATGCTATATTGTATGCTATATATATTTGTACTATATATATTGTACTGTTATTTTTAAAACTCGTTCGCTGAGATTTATAAATAAAGGTTTAATCTTTAAAGTAACAATTTCATAAATTTATATTTAAAAAACAATAATATATATCAGATATATAATTATACAAGTATGTACAGTACTTTGTATTTGTAGATCTTATATATATTTTAAACCTGTTTTTTACCGATTTAAGATTTAGAGTACTAATAAATATATGGTAGTTGTAGTAATATACAGTGCATACATTATTCGAATGATAACATATTTATTATATAAAAAATACTCTAATTTAATTTCAATTCTATTCAACAATAAAAAAATATACTTTAACGAAACCAGTTTTAATTGAGTCAAAAACTGATATAAGTTTATATAAATTGATTATCTTATAGTATGAATTCTGCGAGAATGTCAAAGGCTTTACTTTTTTATACTCTATTTTCTGATGAATTTGTCCCAATATCATTGTTCTTAAAACATATGAGGGAAGTTATTCTTACTTTATTACCTGATTTTCTTTATTTTTTTTATACATGGTATTAACTTATACTTTATACTTTATTATTTAAATTCAGACAATTTCGAACAAATTCGTAACCGAGTAACTAAACATTCTCGAACCAGTGGTGGAATGTTGGTTATGATGAAGGATGAATTTGTCCCAATATCTGATACTTTCTCAGTGAGAAAGTGAAATTCAGATATCAATATAATTTCCAATTATCACCGCAGTGATGATATATTTAAACTAATTAAATGAAATCTGAGCGGTGAAAAAAATGGTTTTCAAAAATAGTAAAATCATTAAGAAAAAAACAAAAGCCATTAAAAGAAAAAAAAGATGGTATACCCGGTTTAATCTATGATGTTTACACTCGTATCAGTTTTATGCAATGGCAAAAAAGAAGAAATACATCAAAGGAGCTTCATGACTTTATAGACAATGTAATCGGAGACTACGAAAAATGGATAGAATATCTTAAGAATTTAAATGAGTATGACGTGGCAGTAAGGGAACCTGATTTAAAACAAGCATTTGAAGCTAAAAAAAATAAATACGATGAAAAGATTAAAAGCTAAAATTTTTTTATATTACAAGATTTTATTTCAATATGTAATATTAATATTTTTTGATTAATTAGATTAGAAGATGAAATTATATCTCTTAAGGATCAGCTTAGCACCAATCAAAATAAAATTATCGAGTTGAAAAATGAAATAAATAAATTGACAGTTAATGTCGAACAAATGGAACTAGATAACGAGAATTTGAATAATCAAGTAAACCGAATGAAAATTGAAATCGAATCAAAAAACATTAAGATTGAGAAATTAGAATGAAATGTAAATTTTACTACTTATTATACAACATAATATTTAATTAAATTTATATTTATATTTTATATTTGTAGTTTTACTATGAAGAAAACCGTCCTTATGATGAGTTAGAAAACAAACTATTAAAAGAACAAGAAAAAAGCCAAAGACTTAACCAGGAATGGGAAAAAGTTTGTTTCGAATGTAATGATGAACGCCAATTAGTGGCAAATCTTAGAAAAAAAATTATTGATTTAGAAAAAGAAAATAGAGAATTAAGATTGAAATTGTTATCATGCGGGTCGCCAGTAGAGCAACTGAGTAGTATTACAGTACCGTGGCCTTCTTAACAGCAGTACTATAACAATGACACGGCTACAGGGATCCTTCACAGGTTTATAG